ATCCAATCCCTCCAACCACACTCTCCCATTCATAGGCCTTCTAAAAATAGATTTGAAGTGGTTTACTAGAGCCTCTGTAATTTCTGCCGAGTGGGACAACACTGCTCCATCAACTTCCAAATTAGAGATGAAATTCTTCTTTCTCCTCCCATTTGCCACTGAATGGAAAAACCTTGTGTTTTTGTCTCCCTCCTTTAGCCACTTACACCTGGATTTTTGCCTCCAACTTAATTCCTCTTTAACCAAGATGTCCTCCATCTGCCTCCTCAAAACCCATCTCAACTTCCTTTATTCCTCTCCAAAGGAACTTCTCTCTTCCTTTAGGTCCAAATCCTCGATTTGCTCCACCAGAACTTGTTTTCYCTCTTCTAATCTTCCAAACTCCAGCCTATTCCACTCCTTTAATTGTGATTTTAAGTATTGGAGTTTCTTGTGGAACCTCATTCCCTCCGAATCAACTACCGGATTAGCTTGCTCCCACCACTCTCTAATCTTCTCAATGAAACCCGGATGAGTCAACCACATGTTTTCAAACTTGAAAGGGGTAGGCCCAACTCCTCTTAATTCCTCCTTGACCAACACTATAGGCCAGCTTCACCCAATAATCTCCACTCCTTTAAAGATCCTATTATTTCTTTCTACCTAGACTAACTAGAGGATAGTTGCTCTTGTGGCTCTCCACATAATTCTTCCATGCCTCTTCGGTTTCCTGAAAAAGTTGGGGTCAAATAGGCTCACCACATCCGAGGGAGGTGTCCAACTACAACCAAAGAGAGAAGATAATCAGGACCAAATAAAGAACACAAAAGGAAATGAGGCTAATAGGTGTGTCATGTGTGATCATCTCACCAAAACCCAAACAAAGGCTACAAACATGGGGTGAAAGGCAAAAATTTGCCCTTTTTCTTTACAACACATCCAAAGTAAAATCATGCAAGCAATGCTAGTGAAACTAGAAAAATCCCTCGTGCTTCTAGTTCTAGTTGATCTTTTCCCATTGAAGTCTCCTCCAACACACCAAGAGATGTCATCAAACTCATGAATCAAGTCCAATTCTTCTTTAAATCTTCCACTTCCATATGGAGAATTAGGGTCATGGACACTAGTTGGGATTTAGTTGAAGCCATCAATTTATTGGTGAAAAGGATAGAAATGGAAAATTCCCCTTTGTCTATTTCAACCCCAAAGACTTCCTCTTCTCTCCAAATGATGAGAATTTCCCTATAAGCACCAACATCAGTGAGAGTAGCCCATTTTCTTCCCCTCAAACCCCAAATGGATTTTATTAATTTATTGTCAACCAGCTACTTTTTTTGTTTCTTGCAACACTACAAGGTCTGGGCCTTCCCTCCTTAACGCATCTTTCACAAGACTCCTTTTCAATTCTCCTCCCAAACCTTTAACTTTCCAGCTTAAAATCTACCCGCCCCACCCAAAAGACCTGAAACCTGATCATCTATACCTCAGTGCAACTGTTTTAGTTCCCTATTGGTTTCCTTCTTCGATCCCTTTTCTGTTTTGGCTTCACTTCTATTTTTCCCCATGTTCTACCTATCATCAACGATTTCTCCAAACTTCTCTATACTCTATACTCCTAGTTTCCTGGCCATCCCCGTGACCTTGCTATCAAATTGTGTCTCCCTTCTACTGTTTGCATTAAGACGAAGGCCTTCTTCCACCCCACAGTGTGGAGCAAAATTATTGGTCACAGCCTGGAAAATAGCTATCAAGTTCAGATAATCCGCTCTCCATGAATTATGGGCACCCCACTTTCTCATAAAACTGTTATAACGCATTTGAATACTACCTATCCGTGTAGGTCACATAAATGAAAACCGTGTATAAATCTGAAGGTGTAAAACTACTTACCAAAATTAAATAAAAAAATAAGTAAAACCGGGGCTTTATGGGAATGTTTGCCGAGACTCCACTTTAAACATCTTGAAGCATTTTTCTTAGAGTAGCTTGAAATGTTCGTTGAGGAATTCTAACAAGTATGGGCATTAGGGATGCAAAATTAGCTCAATCCACAAGGTCCAAGGACCAACCATGAGTTACAACGGAAGATGAATTATTGGAATCAATTAGACAAACAACTTGATAAATGAAATATATCCACGTGCAGACATTTATCACTCGGAGACGTTTTAACTGAAATGTCGCGTTGATCAGGGATAAATAAGGAAGGCAACTTTAACCAGCCCTAGAAAGAAACTAGAGTTAACCATCTATATATATCGAAACCGACAAACTCACCCTTCTTCACGCGCACAAGCTTGCCAGAGTGTGACCGGCGCACATGCCTGACAGCAATGCCACCCGTAGGAGCTCTCCCACCAGTTGAAACTTTTATGTGATGTTCAGGAAGCAATGATGTAGGAGATTTCGGTGACGAAGACAGGATCTCTGAATTCAAAGACGCTTGTCTCAACAATTCCCTCTGCTCATTGGTCAGAAATCCCTCGTTTGAAGCCATTTACTATCAAAAAGTCAAGAGAACAAAGCCCGTCGTAAGACTACCAAAATTCGATAGCGATCTCACCAAATAGAAGATTTCCGTTCGTTTACCACAAGCTTTTTGGAAATCAACGTTCAAAAACAGATAAACCTCACAAATGGAAATGTAAAAATAATAAAGAAACAGTAATCGCAGCTGGACAGTAGTGGCACCTTATGAGCTTTACCTCGAATAGGTATACAAGCATAAAAAAGGAAACAGCAAGTAACAAGAACCTCTGCACTTCAAGCGGACAAAAGCGGTGACTCAAAACCCTAATCCGACATTGAAGTTGCAGAGATCTTTGTGGACTAATGCTTGTGGCCTTGGCCCGGATCTCGAGCCAAGACAGGAGAAGCACTTGGATGACGAGCGACCAACAGCAAAAAAGAAAGTCGATCGAAGACAAGTAGAGTTGGACAAACCCCTGCTAGAAACCCTAGATTCTAGCAAGCTGCAGATCCGGAAATCGCTTCCGCCTCGGATTAGCCCCTTCTCTCTTTCAATTGATTGGAATAAAAGAAAGAAACTGAACTAGAAAACGAGGGATAGTCGGATAGATCATAGATGAAGATAGATGAAAGAGCGGGTAGGGGTCGTCGGAGGGGTTTTATAGGGGAGGTTTCGGTTAAACGTACACGTCACCAGGAAGTTTTGAGCATATCCCTTCTAGTGCCCACGTGGCATTGGCTGAAAGCCGAGGTGGCTGTCCTATATACGTCCTCCAGGCTCCGGTCCGGTGGGCTGAGACGAGTCTAGGACTGGAAAAGTGGGAGTTAGGTTTCGCTCCACTTGATCTATACTCGCCACTTCCCTGTTCCCTTAATCAAGTATTTTAATGAATTTTGATTGTTAAAAACTCTTTGCGTATGATAGATTTCCCCTTTTAATTAATTCGATTTCTTCCGACACAAATCTGTGGGAAACATGAACATGAATTGATGACCCGTTCTCTTGAGTTCATGTCGTCTAAGGTTGTTCATTGTCCTACTGTCCGTACACGTGGATATCGTGATTGGCCCAGTATCCACCGGTTTCTGTAGATATTCGAACTGCCTGGGCAATCTACGCCGTTGATGCATGCAGCACAAGGACTTTGAGCATGTTCCAAAACATGGTGCCACGGTGGCATTTCATTTCAAGGGAATTAGACGTTCATCCAAACAGCGGCCGCTGGTGACAGAATCACATGGCACAAGGTTTGGACTTGGATAAAAAGAGAAAATTCTGCACTAGTATCCTGTACTTTAGGTCAATTGATACTTTGGTCCCTGAAATTTAAAATGTGATAATTCAGTGCCAAAACTTTTAAAATGTGACATTCTAGTATTTATCCTTAATTAGTTATTAATCAGTTGTTAAATAGCGTTTGAAAAAGATATAAATGTCCTTTGAGTATCATATAATTTTTTTTATTAACTATCTAAACATTGACAAAAAATTAACGGTCTCAAATTCTTGCCTCTTATATTCAAGAAAGTTAGGGTCACCAAAATTCCCACACAAACGTGACCCCAACTTTCTTTAATGGAACAAACAGATTTTGAACTGTTAATTTTTTGTCAACGTTTAGATGGTTGCTAAAGAAAATTAAATGACACTTGAAGGGCTTTTGTGTCTTTTTTCAAATGTCACCTAATGGTAGGTTAACATCTGATTAACAGTAGGTAATGGATTGTCACGTTTTGAAAGTTTGGGTATTGAATTGTCATATTTTAAAGTTTGGGGACCAAAGTGGCACTAGGCCCAAAGTACAGGGTACTAATCAGGAATTTTAAAAATTCAGGTACTAAATTGTCACATTTTAAAGTTCGGGGACCAAAGGATTATGTAAACGTGACCCCAACTTTCTTTAATGGAACAAGCAAGGATTTGGAACTGTTAATTTTTTGTCAACGTTTAGATGGTTGATAAAGAAAATTAAATGACACTTGAAGGGCTTTTGTGTCTTTTTTCAAATGTTACTTAATGGTATGTTAACATCTCATTAACAGCAGGTACTAGATTGTCACGTTTTGAAAGTCTGGATACTGAATTGTCGCATTTTAAAGTTTGGTGACCAAAGTGGCATTAGGCCCAAAGTACAGGGTACTAATCAGGAATTTTCCCTAAAAAAAAAAGTTAGCCACTACAATCGAATATGAACCAACAAAGAACCCTACCAACACATTTTGACAACATGATCTCTGATCCAGGTCGTATGTGGGTGCTATTGTCAAATTGGGATCTCTTGTCACTAAGACACCTTTTGAATACCCTACCAACTTGATCTGACACCATACAAATCTAACTATGAAACTGGGGCCACCATAAAAATAGGACTCATCATGCATGAGATGTGCAGTGTTTGATAATATTGGTAGAGTATAGGAATGCATGACTCCGGATCTCCTGCCCATGTCTACCCACAACACACTACTTTCGTGTATTGAAAACATCTCCTGATGCATAATACTATGTAGATGGATGAAATGTTCATCATGTGTGACCGTGGTGTTATATGGGTAAACGTGGTAGAGTTATTATAGTCAGGAGATCCGGGCTCCGTTATCATGGTGAGATGTGAAGATATATATTGAAAGCGTGTTGGAATAGATTTTGTTGGGAGAATACCCCAATCCATTTCCTTCAACAATACTAGAGGGTGAGGCTTTCTTGTCCCAACGTGCTAACCCATGTTCATTTGACGTCAAGGCTGCTTTGATGTGGGAGGATGTCCATATGTGACATTCATACGTATAGAGATGGATAAGGGATAATGAATATCCTTCGTATGGGCCGGATCCCGGCTTGGTCAATGCCAGGGATGTCGCCGAGCCAAGCAGACCAGTGGGCTCAGCAGCCCTAGACATGTCAGCAAGGCCCAATTTATTGACCCAAAACTGGTCCAAACAGGTTTCCTAATATGTAAATTCCTAGAATCAGCTTTTGCATCAAAATACTGTTAGCCTCTACCTGGCCCATCAAATAGTCCACCAAAACTTTTGTAGTGTTCTGTTCTATGCTATTATACAAAATAGTTCATCAGTTCATGCACTTTTTAATGCATTGGACATAATGGTCCATCCAAGCCCAGCCCCAGGTCCCTACCCAACTGCAGTACGTCAATTTTCAGTTTGGATGGGCTGGGTTTGATAGATAATAGATTAGGCTAGACTTTACACTCAGTCCGGCCTTAAATCCGACTCAACCCTCTCAATTTGCACCCTTTCATCATCTCATACATGTTGTAAAACTGCACTTGAATGCTTTGGTGTCTCGAATAACAAAAAAAAACACCTTTTGGGGAAAGGGTCGAAGAATGTTATGATGCTACTAGCCTTCTGGTTGGCTATACAACTCAACATTTGCAAAAGATGTTCTACCTTATCCTTACAGCCAAGGCGAGTAAGATGCTGTTTTCTTCTTTTCCTCCATATGAGGTACATGAAGCCATGAAATATTCTATTTTTCTCATTTACAAGCTATAGGGTTGCCCAATGGACTTAAAGCCCTAAACCCAGTGTAACGTCCGATTCTTTCTTTTCTTTTTCTTTCTTTCTTTCTTTTTTTTGGGGGGTCCGATTCTATTATTTTAACTTGAGACCTTAGTATTTGCATCCTTCCAATAATAGGATTGGATGTGGCTATGACCTTATATGATCTTATTAATATTCGAGTTGGTTAAAATTTTATTATATATGTAAAATAACTACTGTGCATATATATAAAGGGAAAATGACTTAAACCTTCATTGACGTCTGTGATAAATGCTAAAAACCTCCCTCTCTATTAGAAAAGGATTAAAACCTCCCTTACGAAAGTAATTTTAGTAGAATCATCAAAAAGTCTCTTTTACCCATGCCAGTTCTTCATATTATCAATACATTGGAATCTCTCAACATGCACAAATGAAACCTGCGCTGAGATGGTGGAGAACTTGAGGGCTGAGGCTTGTAGCTAATTAGCTAAGCTAAGGTAGCGTTCAGTAAATCTGATGTCTGAAGTCTGAAAAGCAAAAAACACCTTTGAAAAAGCTCTGAAAGTATTCAATGAAAATTTTGCTTTTCCACTTTTACAAACATCTAAATGTAGTGGAATTATTTGTAATCTGAATGTTGTAATGTCTGAAAATTATGTATTTTACAAATATACCCTTCAAAGTTGTTATTTAAATAAAAAATAAACGAAAATGATTAAAACACACATTAAAAGAGTAATAAAAAAGATTAACATTATAAAAATAATAAATAATATAAAATAAGTATAAAATAAAATAATATTACTAATATAATAATACTGACAAAAAATAATGCAAGATATAAAATTTGCCTTTATTATTTAAAAGTGTAAAATATCAAAATTTTCTTAACCAATAAATAAAAAATATTAAATATACAATTAATGATAATTAAAATATTCAACCATTTTAAATAAAATAACTAAACACCATGAAATAAATACAAAACGTTATTAAATGGTTAACCAATAAATGAAAAAATTTAAAAAGCAGTAAATTATTAATAAAAATATCATCTTAATTTTTTATAGAAAATATTAGAATTATAAAGAAAGAGAAAAGGAGAAAATATAAATAAGAAAAAAGGTTAAAATGGAGTTTAACGTTGCAACAAAAAAAAATGGAGTTTTAATGGCGTGAAGAAGGAAAAGAGGGTTGGGGATCAATCATTTTTTATTAATATTTGATAGAGGCACACATAAGTTAAGAGTCTCAAAAAATCAATTGCTTTTGTTTTTGAAGGGGCACATCTACTCTACTTTCACGAACAGCGATGGTAAGAACAATGCCACTCCTCCTCTTCCCCTTCCTATCTCTCCATTTGTTTTACCTGATTCTTGTTCTCATTCTCATTCTCCCTCATCCTCTTGCTTTTATTTGATTATTGTTTTCTTTTTTTTTTTTTACCTTTCTCCATCCATGTTATAGAGAACAGAGATCGTCAACGATTCTAGTTTTGTTGCTCCTCTGTTCATCGCTGTGAAGAAGAAGAAGGAGAGATGGGGGAACATAAGACGATCATTGTTAGGCTGTTATAGAGGGCAAATGCCGATCTTGGTACATCGGTCCTCTGTTCATCGGAATCACTATAGTGAAAGAAGAAGAAGAAGCGATATCCTTAATAGGATATTACAAGACAAATGGCGACCGTTGTTACAAAAGAAGTCAACCGGTGGAGGGAGGAACAAGATGAGGGAAGAAGAAAAAAAGATGGATTGGTATTTTGGGGAACAAAATATCATCCGCTACTTCTGAATGTGTTCGAAGGTAATAGACACGCTCAATGATTCGGAGGAATTTTCGGATTCCAGAGGATGAGTTCGGAGGTGCTGTCTAATGACCTCAAAGCGTCGAAAAGTAAAAATTTTGGTCTTTGGAGGTCGATTCAGCACTACTGAACACTACCTAAGTCAACATTCAGTAGTAATCACTCCTTGAAGGAATTCTCAAACTCGGGTCATTAGCCTCATCCTTGGGTTGGGTTTTGTCTTTGTAAGGAGCTGAAAGCCATTAAGTAATGACTTAGGGATGCTAATAAGTCGAATAAGATTTGATCTGAATCTGATACCGATAGCGTTAAGAGGCAGATTCAGATACCCCTCTTGATCTTAACAAATCGGATTGGATTGAAAAAGTTTATCTGTTTATTTAACGGATCGAATTCGAGTATCGATCAATTTGATCCGTTATATATATATATATATATATATATATATATATATATATATATATATAATATATATATATATATATATATTAT